GTTTGCAGTTGAGAAATGTTATGCATGCCCGGAACATCATGTTATATATAGTAAAAAATACAGATAAGTATCGCTCTTAAAAATTCTAGTAAAATTCTTCTTCTTCTTCGTGATTACTGGCCTTTAAAACCATACCGTCAGGTTAGGTTAGCATGTCTTGACTAGATATGTCGTCTCTTGGTAATATCTTCCACAATAATCGAGTTTTAATACAATTCTTTTAGTTCCCTATTTTTTTGGATTCTCCATCCTCCAGTGTTGATATCTTTACATGGAGCATATATTTTCCTAAGTAATTTTCTTTCAAAAACAACTAATGAATTTTCGTATGTCTACCGTAAAGTCCATGTTTCCGACCCATATATTACTACTGGTTTTATTAATGTCCAATATATCTGAATCTTCAAATTTGTTCAAAATGTTCTAGATCGCAATAACTTGGCCAGCCCAAAGTAACATTTATTACTGGCTTGAATTCTCGCCTTCACTTCACTATTTATTTCGTTCCGTTGTGTCAACATGGCACCTAGGTATTTGAACTGTTGTATTCTTTTAAACGTATGGCCTTCAACTTCCAACTCACTATTTTGATTATTTAAAAGTACTTTTCTTTGGACCACCGATACTCCGTTTTGTCTGTGTTTATCTCCAAACTTATACGTTTATACCATTTCTATCAGTTTTATTGATTGTATTTTGAGTTGTTCTTTATTTTTCGACTATATCGTCAGTATATGCTTAAAGTCCAATGTTTGCCTCTCCTATCCTGACACCTCTTTAATCCATTCCTATTTCACAAGGTATCGCCTTGTCCCAACCCAGTCGTCACTTGTACTACATTTGAAGCGGAGTGTCATATTTTAACCTTGATGTCTGTAAGTTCTATGCTCATTTTTATAAGGTTAATTAGCTTCTGGGGCATTTCAAACTCTTTTAGGACATTAATCAGGGATTTCCTATATATTGAGTCATAGGCTTTTCTGAAATCAACAAATAGCATAGCATAGAATATGGACACCTTTGTCGTATTCCCAGATTTTCTGTAATAAATACCTAGGATGAATATTTAATCAATGGTGGAACGGTTTTGTCTGAATCCAGCCTGGTAGTCCCATAAGATCTCCTCTACTCATGGCTTAATTCTATCCAGCAGACAATAACTCAAAATTTTGTATGTGGCATTAAGTAGTGCTATTCCTCGGTAAATATTGCATAGCTGCCTATCTCCTTTCTCGTGTGGGGCACACTATAGCGCCGTTTTCCATTCCTTCGGTATCACTTCTTTTCACCATATTAGTTCAACTATTCGGTGCATATATTTAATCAGATCACCACTCATTGTTTTCAATAATTCTTGCGTTATTTTATCTTCGGCAGGTGCCTTGTTATTTTTTAAGATTTTGGTTTGTTTCATAATTTCCTCTATTGTTGGATCAGGGAATTCTACTATGTTGGGTTCCCTATGTTCAAAATAAAATGGGTTTTATAGTTCCCCACAATTTAAAAACTGGTCGAAGTAATCTGTCCATCTTCTAGCTATGTCTTCGTTGTTCGTTATTAGAGTTCCATCTTCATTTCTCAAGAATTTCTCATTTGGTTTAAAATCAGTACTCAGGACATGTATCTTTCTATATAGATCTCTTTATTTATGACTTTTATAGTCTTGTTCAGCGCCTATTACTATACCCTGTATATACTTCCTTTTCACACATTTCAAGACATTACTTGCCTCTCTTTATCTTATTTTGTATCTGATACATTTTTCTTCATTTTGTGTGTTATTTAGCCAGTTTTCGTGTGGCAATGCATCTTCGCATATTTGATTGAACCAGTGCCTCTTTATCCGTCATTGCTTTCCAAAAGTTTTTTCTGCTGCCTTCTGAGTTACATTCTTTATTCCTGACCATATTATTTCTATGTCATCATTATTAATATAAAGGTGTTGTTTTTCTCTCTTTATCTTTTCCATATTTTACTGTTGAAAATTAATTTATCATATCATGGAACATATGAGAATTGTGGTATCTATTAACTTTAATACACCAACCAAATAACGTAACTAAATGGAGATACTATAGACTGTTCACACATTTTACAAAATTTAACAAAAGTTAAAAATTTGTCGTTGAAAAATAAAAATAAAGCACAAAACACTCCATAATGGAGAGTATTGGATGGATCTAGTATAGTTATAATTTAAATACATTCAAATTCAGTATAATAAATAATAATAATAAAAATAAAAAAACATTGAGATTAATGATTGTAGCAGAACATTTTCTTTTCTTATTTACTTAAAATATTTATGACGAGGTTTTTATTATCATGTTTTTTTATCAAGTAAAATGATTTAAGTATTAATAATTTTGGCATTTAAAACATTTTAGAGATCATTATAATATTTTTTCTATCTAAAAAGTACAACAAATATATTTAACAATAATAAACAAATATTTATTATGATGTAACAATGAAAGTACTTTGTTGATATTTTAATTAATTTTTTTTTTAAATCTATCAATGTATAATGTATAATGTATATAYATCTTAACTTATCATAATATTACAATTAATTTTATTTGAAGGTGCGCGTAACTTATATTTTTATTTATTGGTCTATACTCTGAAACTTCTAAACAATATCAATTAAAATCTTCTTTTTTTCATTCATATTATATTAAATGGATATGTTTGATTAACTTATTGACATTTTGCTTAAATTATAAAATATTTAATCATAAATGGGGTAATAATATATGCACAAAATATGTGAAATCGTGCAAGATAAACTTTATAATGATATTTATTGTTTACATCGCTCAAATGATAAAACTTTATTCGTGTTAGTTATTAATTTGTCGAAAAAAAATATATTATATAATGGATACAAATTTATAATCATACATATAAAGAAAACATGTCTGTTAATTATTTTGAATTCAGTAAGAAATTCATCAATATACAAAATCATTAAATGCTCACAGTTTTTAAGCATATCTAACATTTGAGTAAATGTGTTATTGTTTATAATAACTGAAAATATATTATTATTTGGCATTTGGAATAAAGATAACAAACCACTATTTGACAACATTACTTTTATTTATATAATATAAAAGTGAAATGGGATATTTCACGAATGAGCCAAATGTATGAAAACCATATATGTGTGTTTTATGGTAATTCTTTTAACTTTATATTTCACATTTTTTTTTTTTTTGATCAATGTCGTCAAAGTGACAATAGAGTCACAATAATTCAATCAATGTTAACTCATTTTTATAATATATTAAATATGATGAAATTTTTTAATTGGATTTTATGCGTATCCCCATAAGAAATGACTTTATATTGTTATTAATTGAATAATATATATATTTTATTTTATTAATTGTTCAATATGTCTACTTCATCATCTATTCTGGCAAAAAAGTAAATCTAGTTTGTACTTTAGGAGGTCAAAAATAAAAATTCCCAATAGTTTTTAAAAGCATTAGAAAAAAAATGAGATTTCAACTGGTTTTTAAAAAAAAATGTTTATTTTTGGTGTAATTCTTAAAGAAATAGCCATAGATACATGCATTTTCACCAAATTACCTGTTGTCAAAAAAGAAAATTTGTCGGGTCGAAAGACTTGAAAATTTGATACAAGATTATAAAAATGTCTACATTTACAGTAAAAAAGTTTATCAGCATGTCAAATAAACTGTTTATCATCGTTTGAAGTTAGACATGGGACATTCACACATCAATTAACAAATTTTCATTGACTGAACTTATAATTTTGTTGTAATTCATATAGAATTAACCATAGGTACTTGACATTTTTAACAAATTTTCCTTATAATATGATACMTTTCTTTGTTCATTCGTTTTAAGTTATTTATAAACATTTTCAATTCTTAATTAATTTTTTTTTTTTTATAAACGTTAATAAACAAAAAAGCGCGAAAGTGAGTAACACACGATTATACATTAGATGTATAGAAAGACACTGTAACGGATGTGTTAAATTTAAATTCAATGATATACCATTATTGTAAACACAAAACAATTCTGAATGAATACAGTCTATCAGTATGTTTGATGATTTGATGATATAATTGTGATTTAGAAAGTAATCTATTTTACGATTAGGAGGCATTAATATTACACTGTCATTAATAGAAAATATAATTAGTTATATAGGCTGATAGACCGTCTTGGCTCAGAATTATTTTTCGTATGATATTATAATATCATTCAATTTAAATTTAACACATCCATTACAGTGGCTCTAGACACCTAATGAAATGTAAAGAGTTCCCACAATTTGCATGTGAGGTTTTCAAACTTAAAATGTTAAAATAAAAGTTATATGCAATTTTAATTTCAAAATGGTTTGTATATACTTTCGTTATTTGATAGATTTCTTAAAAAGTTGAACTAAATTTTAAATACTTGAAAAAATGTTTGTTGTATATTTTTGATAAATTATAAAGCTGTGAGATATTGCTATATTAAGGAACCTCTGTTCAATTTACCTTTTTTAAGACACAAATAATTAATATATTGTTATGAATGAATTGAAAATAAACTTGAAAAGTATTCTATATAAAAAAGTTATATTTACTGAAAATGTAAATTCATTTTGTGCAATTAATTTTTGAATTAGGTACAACAAAATATAATACATTTCAATTACGTTAGAAACTATTGATTTAAATTTAAATTTATACTTTAATTACTGATTAGATTATTCTGAATAGAAATTAGCATTTCCTTAACCTCCAAAAGTATCGATTAGATCAAATTTGATACCGAAAATCACCCTCTATGTGGTGATCAATGCATTTTTCTACTATATAAAACATGTACACAGATAAAAAACCAAATTTTTTTAGTAAAATCAATGCAATCATCGCTCTAGAATCTAACAATTAACGTCTTATATTATATTTTATAAGTTTTTAATAAGTTATACAACATTACAACAATACAACTTAAAATAACATACTGACCTTTTTCAGGCACTGGCTCTGTTGATTTTATCGGTAACCTTAGTTCCGAAGTTTGATTGTACAAAGAATTTATTAGAGCAGTGCACTGTAGTAAAAGCTTACGGCCGTCTTTGAAATGACTCTGATCTAATTTCAGAGTTACCGTTAACTTGCTCGATCTCAAGGAATTTGGAAATGTGTACTTCGTAACTTTCGGATTATCAATCTGAAATCATTTAAATACGATTCGTTTGTAACCATAGTTAATAATACTTAACTAAAAAAAGTTAAGTGTTTTTTTTTTTTTTTTTTAATAATAGGCATATTTTTAGCTGTATAGTAAGTTTTTTAATTGGTAGCTCATTACATAAATTATGTCTATTATTATAATAATAGTGTCCAAAGAAAGGTCATAATATTTTTAAAACAAAATTATGTCTAAAAATAAAAATATAGTTATTAATATTGCGTAAATATATCAAGTATTTTTGAATATTGCTTCATAAATAAAAAATTTGAAAAGATGTATAGTCACCTACTTATACATTTTTAATGCAGTAATTATATTGATATTATTTTGACATTTTGTATCTACTATACAATTTTAATTCATATAAATACAAGTAAAAATATATTGTGCCAAAATCATATTTTATATATACGTAATCCCTAATATGTGTTTTACTGGTTAAGTAAAACTGGTTTAATAACGTACGTCATCATATATTTTATAATAAAGGTTAGGTTATTATGTAAGTATACATTATTGCTAAATACCTATTGAATGAATATGAACGTTGTACCTATGTTAATTCATTTCTATACCTCGTTATAGAGAAAATAAAGCATTTTTAACATTAAACAAGTATTAATTACCTATGTGAATTGAACTAAATAATTTAAAATTTATTTCTATGCTAAGCATGACAAATTCATAATTAACTTTTAAGCTTGAGGAAATACTTATTTCTACCAAGGCCCAATATTATTAATTTAAATACATTTTATATAAACATACGTTATCAAGTAAATATTATTGTTTGAAATTCATTCATAAAGGTAAGTATGATGGAAATCAGTTAGAAGAAGAATGTGTATTTATTATAACTATTATATATACATATTTCAAGTACATAGGTAACCATTAAAAAATAATTACGATATCTTTTGTTTGAATTATTAATAATACATATTATAAATTAATATACAAACAAATATAAAGATATATAAATAAGCATATAATATATTCATAGAAATTTAAATTTAAAAAATGTTTTATTTTTGTACTTAATAAATAGTCAAAAGAGCCGAACAAAAATAAATATAAATATAAATCATCATTCGATTATTCTTATGAACGTATATTGTCGTGGTGATTAAAATTTTTAAATGTGAACTAGTGAATACGAATTAGTTTAATAAATTCAAAAAACTAAGCACTAACTCCACACTAAATATTATAATGGTAATTTATAAGTAGTAGGTAAGAAATATGTTATATTTGGTGTGTATACCTACAAAATTAAATAAATATTCTACTATGAGTTCAATTTGAACGATTATAATATATATTCAAAATATAATGATTAATTAATATTTGAAGCTAATTTATTTATATCATTGAATTGAAAATTACAGTTTGTTAACCTACTTTCATTGTGTAAAAAAACGAAAACATGTAGTCACCTGCATATACTCAATGTATATGTATTACATTAGAATTAAACAATTTCTGAAATTTTATTTCAAACAGAAAAAAATGTACAATTTAACACATAACATATATTTTTATTCTTAGGGGCGTGCATGTGTGCATATTTTAATATTGTTTGGTGCTATAAGTCTTGACATCATTTAAGTGAAAAATGTTTTATTTTTCCCATGTACTCGGATTGGTGTTTTTTACATTTCCCAAGTGTAGACTCAATCGCTTTATATTTCTTTTTACTGTAACTAGATTAATATATTTTATTTTTTTGTTCTGGTAATTTACTCATTAACTATGCACCGTTTAAAATATTTGATTGGAATTACTGTGTCGTAAAATATCTAGTAAAAGTATTTAAATAATTTTTGTTGTATTTTAATACTTTTTAGTTTTTCTTTTAATTTATTAAATATATTTTTGATTMCCTGAATTTTAAAATGCTATTAAACTTGATTTTTGAAGTAAAAAGACAATATTTTTGAAAACTTTAGGTTTTTCATACCATTTATGGAGTATCCTATTATAGTGATACAAGCTTCTGTTTTTAAAATAAGAACCACACTATTCTACTATAAAATATTGAGCCGGTGATATTTTTCAATATCTACTGAACGAGTGTCTTCATATTATTATACTAAGGATAATAACAATTTTTATGAAATATATTATGATGTAATATTTATATGTTTACTTATATATTTACGAAAAGAAGTTCAATAAAAGATTAGATGTTTTAGTTAGTTTACAAAGTATAGTATGTAAGCTATATTATTTATATTATCTATTATAATTTTAGAACAGTTTGTAAAAATCTTTTGAATAAAAATACCTAATGAGAACTTAATTAAACAAATATTTAAAAATGCACATCTATTTTAATTGAATGTATAATTCAGCCGTAATTCACCCCTAGTATCACGGAATATAATCATTATGGCTTATAGTACATGATGTTTAATAAGTTGGAAACTACTTCAAAATGACAAAATGTATTTTAAATACATCAATATTTTAAGCACAAAAAAAATCTCTAACATGATATTTTAAAATAAAAAGACACTCATTAAATGCAAAAACCCTTAACCCTATCTAGCTCAATAAATTTTTTCAAAAAAAAAATGTCTGTTCTCATTTTTGGCTTTTGTAGAGTTAAATTAAGGTAATTTTGTTTTGTTGTGATTTTTGAAAAACTTACCAACATTTTACAGACATGATGCTTACAATTATCACTGGGAACTAGCGATTAAAATTTGTTTTTGTTTTTATGTACCTGCAGATTTTCCAAATTACAAGAATTGAATTTATTTAGTGAACTTATAACCCTAAATCAAACTTTATATTACACAACATAATAGGTTAGATTAGGTTAAAATCATAAAACATAAAATAAAATATAAATCAAACGGTGTACAAAATTCAACGACTTGTTGCTTTTTATTAATGACAAAATTAATAATAATCAAAACTAAATGAAAACAACATTTCAATAAAAACTTTAAAATATAACAATATATTAATCCTATTATAACAATAAGTACTTACTTAGATCAATATTCAGACTTTTTATCAGACTTTATGATAGGATAAAATATAGAAACTTATTTTTTATGGTAGTTTCAGAAACAATTGTTTTTTAAAATGTAACATAAGTGTAACTAACCTAACCTATTCGAAAATGTTATGGTCTTTAAGTATATACTAATGAATTATAAAATAAAGGTTTTAAATAATGTTATTATTTACAAGTTAAGAAAGTTCACTCTGCGAGTGTGCTTAATTTCCGGTTTCTAAACAAATTTTAATACAACTATATAAATTATAATTATATAACGATGTAAATTTATGTTCAGTAGCTACAAACAATCTATATATATATAATATAAATGGAGTTCTGTCTGTCCTTTACGCATTCCTTAATGGCTGGACTGATTGCGACGAAATTTGATACAGAGATATATTATACCAATGGGCAGAAGATAGGCTAAGTTAAAAAGTGATAGACTCAATTCCGGGAGCTGCTCAAACACACATTTTGTGATTTACGATGGAAAATTTTATTTATAGATGGTTGCTATTAGTGTGAATGAAATTATTATCTCTGAATTTTTGTTATTATTTTTTGTTATTTACTTCCATGTGACGTGCGTTATGGCATTAAAAGTTTTTAGTGATATTGTGTGTGTGTGTGTGTGTGTGTGTGTGTGTGTGGATTTTTTTAAATATAAAATTTCTATGCATTCCTCAAAAAAAAAAAAGATCGACTGTAGTTCAACGTCTCAAGCACGAAAGAAAATGGTAATACGAGCTTTAGAAACAATCGAGCAAGATAGAGATACAAGATTGGGAACCACCAGAGAACGTCAAGTTCGATTCCGTTCATCTGAAACAACTGAGCAATGAGATGCAAGATTGGAAACCGATATGAAATATGAAACAAATATGCGTGTATAGATATATACGCATATGAAATATATATATTCAAAATGATATATCAGCAGGTAGATTCGCCAAACAATTGCTGAAAACGGGGAATAGGAAACTAGCTATCGATGAATCAACAAAATGCATCACATTGCCAACAAATTTCTGTAAAATAACAGTAAATACAAAAGAGTTGATTGACAAAGTTTTCCCGAATCTAACACAAAATTACAGAAATCGTCAGTGGCTCAATGCACGGGCTACAATATGTAAGTACAATCAATATCACTATTCTAAACGAAATTCCAGGGAACACGACAACGTATCAGTCCATCGATACCGTAATGAATCAAAACGAACTTGTCAAATATCAAATTGAATTCTTAAATTCACTTGATTTGCCAGGCCACCGCACCTTCTAACATTGAAATTTGACGTACTCATCATTCTTCTACAATGAAACATCAATCCACTACGACTCTGCAACGGTACTAGGCTTTCACTGAAAAAGTTGATGGACAACATCATCGAAGCTATAATATTTTAAACGGAAAGTTTAAAGGTGAAGATGTACTATTGCCACGCATCTCAATGATTCCGACAGATATGCCTTTCGAATTCAAACGTTTACAGTTTCCGGTGCGACTCGTCTTTGCAATGACCATCAACAAAGCAAAAGGACAGTCGCTACAAGTGTGTGGACTGAATTTGGAAAATCCATGCTTCTAACATTGCTGTATGTGTCATGCTCACGTGTCGGAATACCTTTTGATTTATTTGTATATGCAGCAGATGGAAGAAAAAAAAATATTGTGTATTCAAATGCACTTCAATAATGTATGTTAAATACATTTATATTGCGACAAAATTTGGTACAAATATATATATTAAAACTATGAACAGAAGATAGGCTAAGTTAAAATGTGAGACGCCCAAATGTGGCCAAATATCATTCAATTGAATATTTGATTTGTCAAACTTTTCTCGATGAAACGAATAAAAAGATAAACTAAATTGAATATTATGGTAAGATTATTACTTAGTATATTTTAACCGTTATCTATCTATATGTATAAAAATATGATGCTAGCATAATC